GGGATCGCGTTTGTTAGGAAAATATACATTCCCCTGAGAATCAGCCACTGTTGCTACACAACACCCTGTTCAGCAGCTCACCGGGCATTTTTCCAAATCTGTTTATTTTTAACATCAGTCACGTTATTCAATTAATTACAAAAACACTGAGGGTTTCACACAGAATCACACAGAATGGTTTAGGTTGGAAGGGACCTCAAAGACCATCTAGTTCCAACCCCCCTGTCATGGGCAGGGACACCCTCCACTACACCAGGTTGCTCAAAGCCCCATCCAACCTGGCCTTGAACACTTCCAGGGATGGGGCATCTACAGCTCCTCTGGGCAACCTGTTCCAGTGCCTCACCACCCTCAGAGTGAAAAATTTCTTCCTTAGATCTAATCTAACTCTCCCCTCTTTCAGTTTAAGGCCATTGCTCCATGTCCCATCACTCCACACCCTTGTCCAAAGCCCCTCTCCAGCTTTCTTGCAGCCCCTTTAGGTACTGGAAGGTCTCCCCAGAGCCTTCTCTTCTCCAGGCTGAACAGCCCCAACTCTCTCAGCCTGTCTCCATAGCAGAGGTGCTCCAGCCCTCGGATCATCTTCGTGGCCCTGCTCTGGACTCACTCCAGCACCTCCATATCTTTCTTGTGTTGGGGACTCCAGAGCTTAATTTTGGCACTAGACAGGGTTCTAACTCGGATCATGGTTCTAGGTTGCTTGATGGTTCTAGATTGGGGTTTGGTTTGGTTCCTGATTGTTATGTAACTAGTTTGGGATTCAATTTGCTTACTGGTTCCTGATTGTTATGTACTCAATTTCATGTTCAGGAAGATGGTCTTGAACTTCTAGCTCACTTGTTGGGTCAAGACAGTTGTTTTGTTTTGGATTGCAGTCTGGAACCTACTTGGTTCCAGAGCACGTTCTAGCTCGCTTGGTAGTTCTAGAGCAGGTTCCAGGACAGCAGTTCATTCTAGATGAGAGGGTGGATTTTTCTTTCCTTTTTTCCTTGTTTTGAGAGGAAGGCTCATAGAATGGTGATACTGTCATCCTCCCATAACTCTCCTAAGTTTGTGGCCTTTCTTTCCCTCGGCTGGGCAAGAGATGTTTCTGATAAAACGGCAGAGTAAATATGCGTGAGAACAGCAAGGATTAAAATCTCTGTAAACTTTAGCATTTGGGGCTGTTGCTATAAACAAGAGAAGTCCTCCACGGAGGTTATTTATCAGTGTGAATCATGCCAGATAACACATGGCCTCCTCCCACAGCACAAACAGAGAGATCGTTTGTCCTTTACCTAGTGATGGAAGCTAAAGATCGACATGTCTGTCAGCAAGTATGCTCACGGAATGAGAAGTGTGAGGGACTGGGCTGGATTCTTCAGATGCTTCCAGCATTCAAGCATCCCAGCTTGGCAAATATTAAATACGTAGCAGGCTGAGCTCTCCCAATAAACTGAGAAACAGAAAGCAATAAAAAACCCAGCCCATCTCTAGCAATGTCTTGAGGCCTTGAAAACACCAGATATCCATTGACGGAATAATTCAAGCTTTAAAAGCAGCCTCCACAAACTCTGCTGTATGGGAAGACTGATATCTCCTGCAATGGTTTCACTGTACCAATACGAAATGTTTTCCCAGCTCCAAGTCTGTGTATCTGTTTAACCGGGTAAGCAAGAATCATAACAATGCATTTGGCTTAATCCAGTTTTTAACTTTTATTCGAGTATGTTACGTTGCCATGTACTTTTCCTAGCAGTTGGTTTTTGGGTTTTTTTACTCACATTGTGGTAGAATTATTTGATAGTTCTGATACTGTCTGCATAGATGGCAAAGATTAAAGGCAAGGAGTCTGGGCATCAAAGCCTGGCAAAGAAAGCAAGGACTCTCAGCTTTGCCAGACATGCAAATCAGCCTTGGGAAAAGTCCCTCCCATACAAGCCTCAACTTCTCTGCCACAGAGACTCTTAGGCACATCCTTAACTTTAAAAAATAGGCAAATCATGTTGATGATTGCAGACTCCTTCAGGACAAGGAGAGACATTTTGTTCTGCTTGCCCTTAAACGATGGAATCCTGCCCAACCAGGGATCCCAGCACAGCACAGCACACAGCAGCAGCACATAATAACAGGAGGGAGCCATTTTGATGAAGAGATGCATTTAACCGGTTGCCACATCTCACACACGGAGGGTGAGATTCCAGCTCCGGGCCCCGCCTCGCAGTGCCCGCAGGGGTGTGCGATGCCAGAGCCTTTCTCCCGCTCCGGGCCAGTCCCGGCGTTGCTGGTCAGCCTGACCCACGGCCCGCTGTGTGGTTCTGTGAGGACAAGGTGGCCACACCACTTAATTCGTGAGGCAGCACCACCTGAGGAGCAGTGTGCCTGCAGCTCAAAAAAAACCGTCGGAAGAGATGTCACCGGGAGCTGCCTGGGCAGGGAAGGCGCTGGGACAAGGGGTCCTGGCTGTTAAGGAGCAGTGCTTAGGAGGGTGCAGAAAGACCACGTCTGTCAGAGCCTCTCCCACCACCTCAGCCCAGCCGCGGACACCTCCACTGCGGGCTCCAGGGGCCGAGGCCTGCCGTCCCCTCAGCCAGCCCGCTCCCGCCCCGCGCACTCAGTGCCAGCTCGGCGCGGCCCCGCCTGCAGAGGGGCCCTGG